ACAGGCCATGGTGAGGATTTGGGTCTACATCTAAGACTACTGGGAAGCTGTTCAAGGTTTTTAAGTAGGGGAGTGGAAATTTGATTTGTATTCTGAAAAGACCATTTCTGGCTGCTATGCTGGGGGAACCAGACAAGTGTGAGCAGACTAACTAAAACCCACTGCCTTTGAGTCGATTCTGATTCTTAGAGACCCCATTAGGTTTCCAAGACTGTAAATCTTTACAGAAATAGATTGCCTCATCTTCCTCTATGCCACCAGAGGTCCTTAGGTGAGTAGGCTACCATCATAAACAGTTCAAGTGAGAGATGAACATGGACCACGTGCTAGCAAAGTAAAATAAGGAGGCTGGGTAAGACTGTTTCTAAGATTCCTTCCAGGTCTAAATTGTGAAGAACCCACAGTGGTTTTCAAGTCTGGTTTTGTGATTTTCTAGGGTATTTCTAATTATCACAAATAATTCTCAAATCTATTATATTATGTATTGCTCTCCAATAGGGAATAAATAAAAAATATGCCAACAAGGCATTATTTATCTAAAGAGACTGAGAATTGTTGTGTTAGGTGCTGTGGAGTCGTCTCGACTCAGTGACCCTACGCATAGCAGAACGAAACACTGCCCGGTCCTGCACCAGCTCCATGATCCTTGCTACACTTGAGCCCAATGCTGTAGCCACTGTGCCAATCCATCTTGTTGAGGGCCATCCCCTCTTTCATCAACCCTCCACCTTACCAAGCATGACATTCTTCTTCAGGGAACTGTCCCTTCTGACAACATGACCAAAGCAGGTGAGACGAAGTCTGGCCATTCTCACTTCCAAGAGGCATTCCAGTTGAACTTCTTCCAGGACAGATTTGTTAGTTCTTTTAGCAGTCCACAGTATTTTCAGCATTCTTCACCAACACCACAACTCAAAAGCATCAACTCTTCTTCGGTCTTCTTTATTCACTGTCCAGCTCTCACATGCATATGAAGCAATTGAAAATACCACGGCCTGTGTCAGGCGCACCTTAGACCTCAAGGAGACATCTTTGCTTTTCAGCACTTGAAAGAGGTCCTTTGCAGCCAATTTGCTCACTGCTGTACATCGTCTGATATCCTGACTGCTGCTTCCATTGGTACTGATTGTACAACAAACGCAACACACTGTCGTCAAGTTGGACCCAACTCATAGCGACCCCTCCCTGGGTTTCTGAGGTGGTATCATTACAGAAGTAGATTGCCCAACCTTCCTTCCAAGGAGTGGCAGGTGGGTTTAAATCACCAGCCTTCTGGTTAGCAGTCAAGTGCTTTAGGCACTCCACCACCACAGCTCCTGGCGTCAACTGTAGAATCAAGCAATATGAAATCTTTGACAACTTCAATCTTTTCTCCATTTACTGTGATGCTGGTTACAGGTCCAGTTGTGAGGATTTTTATTTTCTTTATATTGAGATATAATCCGTACTGCAGACTGCAGTCTTCAATCCTCATCAATAAGCGCTTCAAGTCATCCTCACTTTCAGCAAGCAAAGTTGTGTTGTCAGAATATCGCAGGTTGTTAATGAATCTTCCTCCAATCCTGATGCTACATTTTTCTTCACAGTCCAGCTTCTTGGATTACTTGTTCAGCATACAGATTGAATAAGTATGGTGAAAGGACACAACCCTGACGCACTCCCTTACTGATTTTGAACCATGTAGTGTCCCCCTCTTCTGTTTGAACAACAGCCTCCTGGTCTATGTACAGGGTCCTCATGAGTACAATTAAGGGTTCTGGAATTCCCATTCTTCTCAGTGTTACCCATAATTTGTTACGATCCACACAATCAAATACTTTTGCATAGTCAATGAAACACAAGTAAACATCTTTCTAGTATTCTTTGCTTTGAGCCAAGATCCATCTGACATCAGAAATTATATCCCTCATTCCACGCTCTCTTCTGAATCCAACTTGCATTTCTGAATGTTCTCTGTCAATATACTGCTGCAACCGTTTTTGAATTATCTTCAGTAAAATTTTACTTGTGTGCAATATTAATGATACTGTTTGATAATTTCCATATTCTGTGGGAATTCCCTTTCTTTGGAATAGGTACAAATATGGATCTCTTCCAGTCAGTTGACCAGGTAGCTGTCTTCCAAATCTCCTGGAATAGCCAAGGAAGTGCCTCTTGTGGGGCATCTGTTTGCTGAAACATCTCAATAGGTATTCTGTCAATTCCTGGAGCCTTGTTCTTCACCAATTCCTTCAGTGCAGCTTCAATTTCTTCCTTCAATACCACTGGTTCTTGATCATATGCCACCTTCTGAAATGGAAGAACATCGACCAGTTCTTTTGGTACAGTGACTCTGTGTACTCCTTCCACCTTCTTCTCATGTTTCCTGCAACATTCAATATTTTTCCCATAGAGTCTTTCAATATTGCAACTCGAGGCTTAATTTTTCTTTGGTTCTTTCAGCTTGAGAAATGCTGAGTGTGTTCTTCCCTTCTGGTTTTCTAACTCCAAGTCTTTGCACATTTCATTACAGGAATTGGCTTTGTCTTTTCAAGCTGATCTTTGAAATCTTCTGCTCAGCTCTTCTGTCTTGTCATTTCTTCCATTTGCTTTACTCTCCATTCAAGGGCAAATTTCAGAGTCTCTTCTGGCATCCTTCTTGGTCTTTTCTTCCTTTCCTGTCTTTTTAATGACCTTTTGTTTTCTTTATGGATGACGTTCTTGATGTCATCCCACAATTCCTCCAGTTTTCGGTCATTGGTGTTCAATGCATCAAATTTATTTTTTAGATTGTCTCTAAAATCAGGAGGGATATATTCAAGATCATATTTTGGCTCTCATGGACTTGTTTTAATTGTCTTCAACTTCAAGTTGAACTTGCATATGAGCAGTTGATAGACTGTTCCACAATCAGCTCCTGGCCTTGTTTTGGCTGAAAACACTGAGCTTCTCCATTGCCTCTTGCCACAGATGTAGTCAGTGTGACTCCTGAGTACTCCATCTGGCGAACTCCACGTGTACAGCCACTGTTTATGCTGTTGAAAAAAGGTATTTGCAATGAGTAAGTTGTTGGCTTTGCAAAATTCTATCATGAGATCTCCAGTGTTATTTCTGTCACCAAGGCCAAATTTTCCAACTACTGGTGATTCTTTATTTCCAACTTTTGCATCCCAGTCACCGGTGATAATGAACACATCTTGATTGCATGTTTGGTCAATTTCAGACTGCAGAAGTTGATAAAAATCTTCAATTTCCTCATCTTTGGCTTTGGCGGTTAGTGCGTAAATCTGAATAGTAGTAGTAGTAACTGGTCTTCCTTGTAGGTATATGGATATTATCCTATCACTGACAGCACTGTACTTCAGGACAGATCTTGAAACATCCTTTGCAATGATGAATGCCACAGCATTTCTCTTCAAATTGTCATTCCCGGCATAGAAGATCATATGGTTGTCTGATTCAAAATGGCCAAAACCCATCCATTTCAGCTCACTAATGCGTAGGCTATCAATCTTTATGCGTCCCATTTCATTTTTGACAACTTCTAATTTTCCTAGAGGAGCTCTGGTAGCGTAGTGCCTAAGGCATTTGATTGCTAACCAGAAGGCTGGTGGTTCAAACCCACTAGCCACTCCTCAAAAGGAAGGTTGGGCAATCTACTTCTGTAGTGATACCGCCTTGGAAACCCAAGGAGGGGTCTCTATGAGTCGAGGCCGACTCAACGGCACAAAACAACAACAACAATTTTCCTAGATTCACACTTTGTACATTCCATGTTCCAATTATTAATGGATGTTTGCAGTTGTTTCTCCTCAATTTGAGTCATGCCATGTCAGCAAATGGAGGTCCTGAAAGGTTTACTTTACCATATTATTAAGGCTGGTTCTACTCTGATGAGGCAGCTCTTTCCCACTTGTATTTTGAGTATCTTCTAACCTAAGGAGTTCGTCTTCCTACACTGTATCAGACAATGTTTCTGGGCTTTTTTTAAAGTTGTCCAGTAATGTATCAGACAGTATTTCTCTGTTATTCATAAGGGTTTCTCTGGCCAATTTTTTGAGAAGTGGATGGCCTCTTCCTTCTTCCTAGTCTGTTTCAGTCTGTAAGCTGTGTTGAAACCTGTGGACCATGTGCAACCCTGCAGTCATTTGAAACACCGATGGCATAGCCTCCAGCCTCATAGCAACATGCAAGCCACCACAGTACAACAAACTGACAGACAAATTCTAAGTCTAAATTCCTTAACTGTTTAAAATCTCTCCACCCTCCCCTTACCTGGATCCTGCCCCTTTGTCGGCCCTGGCTTCCCTCCTTCCTGCCTTTGGGTGGGGGCTGTCTCCCTCAGTTTGAGAATTACTATCATTAAAAAAAAAAAAGGACCAGGTTTACTGGTCTGATAGAGCCTGGTGAAACCCTGAGAATATGGCTCCTAATTGTCCTTCAGGTCTGGAATTGAACCTACTCCCATGGCTTCCAGCCAAACCAAAGACAGACATATGAGCTGAACATTTACATTAGACAGATACATTCCTTGGAGAGATCAGTCAGGGGAGAGTAGAAGGGCTGTGTATGCACAGGGAGACAGCTCAGGGGGCAGGAGTGCATGGGAGGGAAGGACACAGGGAAAAGGTGGCTATGGGGAGGAAGTGGGAGGAGAGCTGTTGCACTGTGGGAGATTATAGTCAATGTCATGAGACAAAATATATGTGAACTGCTGTATGGAAGATGAATTTGCTCTGTAAACTTTCACCCAAATCACAATAAAACAAAACAAAAAAAAAGGCTGAGAATTATTACAGAATAAACAATTTTTCTCCACCATTAGAATGTTTCCTAAAATATGGCTTACATTTTTCTCAAGCTTAAAAGAACTACTTTTATGAAATTAAATTTTTGATTACACAATTAACTAACAGATAATGGAACAAAAATTAATACAAAAGGAATAAATACATATTGCTTGGGTACATTTTTTCACTACACTTTCTCATAATACTGTAGTGACAAAACAAAGAACATACCTGCTGCATTCTAACAATGTAACTTTAAGGCGGCCTTCAGTAAGTGCCCATTGCTGGATATGGATATGCTCGTCTTCATCATCTTCAAATCCTTGCAAGGTTTGGAATGGAAAAAACGGCTTAAACCTGACAAAAGTAAAGATAAGTCTAAATTCCTGAGCAAAAAGCATGACAGTTTAAAGCATAATAAGGAAAACAATACAAAGCAAACACCTAATACTGCATATATCTACAAAACAAAGTTCATTATGCTCCCCTAGAACAGGAAGCAGAGATAAACAGGGGCTTACAATAATAAAAAAAAAGGTTAACTCATTTGGAAGATACAACAATTATAAACATGATGTACCTAGTAACAGAGCACCATAATACATGAAGTCAAACTGGTAGAAATGAAGGGAGAAATAGACAATTCAATACTACGAGCTACAGCCTTAAATACTTCACTTTCAGTAATGGGTAGAACTGAGAAGATCAACTTTGAAACAGACTATAAACCAACTAGACCTAATAGACATCTACAGACCACTCAACCCAATAACAGGATAAATACTCTTCTCAAGTGCACATGAAACATTCTCTGAGACAGATGATACACTAGGCCATAAAACAAATCTCAATACATTTAAAAGGACAGAAATAATAAACACATATCCGTGCTCTTAACCCTTGTTCTTAAAAGTCATTAAAAGCAGAAACAGCTAAAAATTGTTGGTTCTGAAGAGTGTGACTTAGGGGAGTAGAGGGTTGAGGGAGGTAACTGCTGCTTTTCATTACAAGACTTTCTGCTCTTTTTAATTTTTAAATTATGTTAATTAACTGAAATAAAAAGACATACAATACCAAATGGTGGAGAGGATGTGAAACTGCTGATGTAGACTATTAATATAACTGCTCTAAAAGGTGTTTGGCAAGATCTACTAGTGCATTTTTTGTATATAATGCACCCATGTAAACAATGCACACATGCATATAACACATACATTATGCACAGGAAATTAACATGCAAGGGGGCTGCACGGTTTGTAATGTGTGATGGGTAAGTTATTTGCGTAAAAAATATGGTTAACCTGAACAGATGTTTACCCTATAACCCAGCAATCCTACTCCTAGATAGAGCAAATAGAAATGTGCACAAAGGCTTATAAAAGACATGTGTAGGGATAGTCAAAGCAGTACCATCCAACTGTCCATTAACAGTATAATGAATAAATGGAGGTACATTCACAAAGTGGAATACTATTCAGCAAATACAACAAGCTACTAATAATATTACCTCTCAGAAATATTGTTGAACCAAAGAAGGTACACCAAAAATTGAGTGTACACTCTATGATTCCATTTATATGAAGTTTGAAAACAGACTGAAAAAAAATAAATGATGTTAGAAGTCAGAATAGTCATTACTCTGAGGAGGAATGGAAGAGGGCAGTGACTGGAAGGTGACATACTGTTGTTGTTCACTGCTGACAAGCTGGCCCCTGACTCATAGTTACCCCATGTCACGATGAACAAAACACTGCTTGATCACTGGACTGTTGTGATCCGTAGGGATTTCACTGACTAATTTTCAGAAATAGATCATCAGGCTTTCTTCTCAGTCTGTCCCAGTCTGGAAGCTCTGCTGAAACCTGTGCAGCATCACAGCCACATACAAGCCTCCGAGGACAGACAGGTGGGGGCTGGGCATGAAGCCCACTGGCCGTGAACTGAACCCAGCGCTTCTGAACAGAAGGTGAGAATTCTACCACTAACCACCAATGTTCTGGAGAAGGTAGCACAGGAAAGGCTTTTGGCTGCTGGAAATACTCCATTGCTTGTTCTGAATGCTGGTTACATGAGTATGTTTACTTTGCAAAATTTCACTGAGCTGAATTTTTATAATTAGTGTACTTTTCAAGTGTGAATTATATTTTAGTAAAACTTTAAAAGAAAAAAGCGTAATTTTAGAAAAGTACATTACTTCAATAAAATTTTACACCCAAGTCTCATATTTGGATCTGACAAAATCTTCCATAACTTCTAAAATATGGCTTTGCTCTGACTAAGATGTTTCTTCACAATTTTGCCATTAAGCACTCTTGAGTGCCAGCTGGTGACATTCTCATCACATGGCATCAGTAAAACTGTTTGCAAACACTGTGGATCTTCAGAGAAAAGGGGTTTATTGTAAACTCAATATAAAAATACTCCAAGACCTAGATCTACTCTTGATTTTAGCATTGCTTGTGTGACTTTGGCCAAGTGATAAATCTGCTAGAGATTTCGGTTTAGTAAAAGAAAAAATTTTCCAATAATTAGAGCTAATCAAAAAAGGGCACAAGCTGCCTCAATGCATAGCAAGCCTTCAATCTGTAGAAATATTTGGGCTGAGGCTGGATGAGGGGGGTAAGTGTTGTGAAAAGACTCAAAATTTAGAATTATACAAACTATCGAACTTCATCACTCACAAAGCACATGACTTTAACAGGCTGCTTCATCTCCTTGAGCTGTAATTTCTTGTTTGATAAAAAAAGGGGGGGGATAATAGCTGCATTTTCTGTTATCTATGAAGTAAGATTAATTCTTATATCAGCACCTTTTAAACCGTAAGGCATCATTTAAATGTTATCTGCTAAACATAAACAGAATTCTTTACATGTAAGGAAGATGGAACTGCATTACCTCTCAGGTACCTTTCAACTTACCACAAGATTCTGTCCCATGTTTAGGACCACACATTCTATTCACCACACCCAGACATTGAGGCCTCAATTTATAGCATGTATGGAACACTTTGAGGCCTTAAGTATTATTATTATTATTATTATTATTTTTAAAAACACCTTTTTTTCCTATATGATAATCTGTAATAATGAGATTTGTAT